CTTCAAAAGCTTGATTGGTGCAAATCGCATTAATTGCGACGTTCAAAAGTGATTCTTTGAAGAGGTCATGAATAGGCAACAATGAGACTTGGAAAAATAAAAAACAATATACAAATATTTATTCCCTAAAGGAATGCATCATAACGGGCGCGGGAACTAAAATTTGTGACTCAATTTTCCCTTTTATAGAGGGAATATAAGCGTGCTAAGGTTAGAAAGCCATACTCGTCCATATCCCATATTCAAGGGGTTATTTCCCTAATTTAATCAAGCAAATGTACTAACCTAGTTCTAATTCTTAAATGGAATGCAAGTCTATATGTCATGTTTCATACATGGGGATGAGAGATGTATACAGGAAAATATCATGCAAAAAACCCTAAAAAGTGGAAAATATGCATGAAATATAGTGATTTATCATGCAAACATGATCTAGCGCATGGTCGGTTCCTAAGGGTTTAGCATTGGACTAACCCATATCTATAAATTCTTAATAGTGTTGGATTAGTGAGAAATCGGAAAGAATGGCCACAACTAGCGTTGGACTAGTGTGAAATCAGAAAAAAGTGCCACAACTAGTGTTGAACTAGTGTGGTGACGTCATGCATTTATTATAATCAAATAAATCATATAAAACATAATAAAAGCAAATAAACACATAAATTACATATAGCACGTAACACATAAGCATTATATCTAGATGCAAGGCCTTAAGAAAGGAAGTAACACGTAAACACGCAAGCATGCAAAACACACAAAGCAAATAAAGAACGAATAAAGACCTAACTATTACACTTGGGAGGGCCCTAACTACAATCTAAAAGGGGAAAGAATGAAATAAAATAAAATAAAAACCTAACTATTACAATTTGGCATTTAATGCCTCTCAAATAACTAAAAATTAAATTTAAATAAATATACAAAATTAAAGCAAATGAAATGAATAAATAAATAGATGAAATAAAAAAACATTCAAAAAAGCATGCAATTACACACATAAAGTCACATAGGAGCACGTAGGATCAAGTAAAATCAAAATAAAGGAGTAGAGTGTACCTCCCTTGAATTGGTGACTTAATGAAATGAAGTTTTTCTTATTTACCCTCCAAAACAAAGAAAAAAGGTCAAGGCATCACTTTAATTAACAAATAATCACAAGAAATGGAAATAAACACAAAATTGAATCAATCAAAGCATTCAAATAAAAGTAAACAACCCATATTCAATAAATTAAAACAAACAAGGACCCAATTGAAAGAGTTAAAGAAGTTTGAGGGGTCAAATCATTATTATTACAAATATTAAGAGTCTCAATTAAAATAAAATCAAATTAATGGCTTAAGATGAAGCCTACCAAAATCAAATGCTAAAATAATAAATCAAAACCATCTCACCAAACCCCAAACAAAAAATATTACCCAAATCTAAACCATTTTTACAAAGATCCAAATCAAAAACTATAAATCTATCAAAAATTATTAAACTTCAAAATTCATCCTAAAATTCACCAATAATCTATCCAAAATCACACAAAAACATGGCAAAGAAAAATTAACATTTAAAAGGGCAGAAATGATTAACTTTTCCAATTTTATGGGCCATAGTAGAACAAGGGGAAACTTGTGGGGTTGAAATGAAATTTTTGGAAATTTTTGCATGCATCTTCGAAGAAGGTTTCTGCAACTGAAGCTTTCCGCTATTCTCTTCTAGGTTTATTATCACACATATAAATCATGCCAATCAATTTTCAAGTTAGCAAAAATGTACTACTTACACCTTTTACTATTGAAATCCAACACCAAAGTTACACAAGCAACAAAAGAAGGAACAACAATCAATGAAACATTGGAAAACAGATTTGTCCAAAGCTTTTTGCCATTTTTCTGGGTTTCAACATATGAACTGTACGAACCAAAATCTCATGCCAACAATATCATGCACTTTATGCATTTTATTCCCATAGTCAAACACCAAAGATTCATCAACGAAACAAGGCATGTTCAGCAAGAAAATTGTCTAAAACAATCATGACAGAGAAATGGGACAAGTTCATCAAACTGATAACAAAACATTCCAGAGTTTCATGTCCATTAAGCTCAAATCTTCATGAAAATCATATAAAATTAACAAAAGGAGAAGTAAGGGTCACCACAATATGTTTATAGCATCTGTGACGCCCCCACTTCTCCCAAGGGCGAAGCCAAGGGTATCGACGGGACGCCTGCCCAACTCTCGTCAGGACTCGAAACAATTTCAATTCAAGCTTAAGAATAAATAACAGAATAATAAAAGTCAAAAGCATAAAGAAAAGCACTCCCTTAATAAGTATTCAATTCTTACACTTCAAGATACCAAGTATATCACTTTCCCCAAAATATACAACTTTCAAAAGTCATCTAATTGATTACATTCAAACCCCAATCAAAAGTGCATCAAGTCGGCTTGTGACAGCCCCACCGTCCCTAAGGCGTATCAGAGGGGTTAGCGGCTGCCTGCCCAACTCTCGCCAGGACTAACGAGGTAGTTAAATAACATTCTAAGATGTTCCGGAATAAAATAGGCACTTACACGAGACAAAATCGCAAAATGGAAAATCAAAAACAAAACCGCCAATGAATAGTGACTGCCACGTCACCAACCAGGCCGAATCCAATCAACTACCAATAACATTACATACTCTAGAGAATTAACATTTTCAAACCAAATAGGATATATGAATAGGGTTAAACGGTATTATACACATACGTTTGTAATTTACAAATCAAAAGAAAGTTATTTAGATTAAAGTACATTTAGGGTTTTCTTCCCACCATCGAGGAGCTTTACAAAAGAATATATTCAAGCCATATAAACTAGCTCAACTCGTGCTTCAAAACAATTTAGTCTTCCCAAAAGATTGTTTATATCCCTGTGAGGAAAACAAAGTAACGAGGGTGAGCTTACGCTCATGAGGTACCAACAAGACACACCAATATACACATCTTATCACATAGTGCTTCCAAAGCTCATAAACAAACAAGTCAATATAAAAGGATACAATTGGCTCTCAAGAGCCACTTTCCACTTGCCGCCACTTGATCTCCAACCCGTTGACACTTTCGTCAACCTTTAAAAAGAAGAACATCCTGTAGGACCCACTTTACTCCATATCCCTTCCACCGATCACCCCCTTACCGAGCCGAACACCTCACAGAATGACTAAGCTGACGCGCACACACGCCTTGTTGAACGTAAGTCTTCTGGCCAATGTCTTGATCAACCCGAATGACATTAATACTTGAGGATTCTCCTTGAGTAAGACCTTCAATCATCTTAGAACCTTCAATTGCCTCTTGAATAGCACGAACCAAAGTGTTGAGTTGATTGTTAAGCTTGGCTCACGAGCTAGTAACGTAACCAAATTGAATTGGATCATCTAGAACTTGACGGGCAACTTGCATATCCTCATCAAAACCAAAACAAAATTTACATTTTTAATTTCTACTCATACAAATGCCCAAACCTGAAAAATCAATGGCCATTTTCTTACTCAAGTAGCATTTCAAAAAGTGAAAACACAAGGGACCACATGTAAGATATCCTACTCAAAAATGACAAATTTTACAGCTTTAACATTTTATTTAATTGTTGATTTAGGGTATAAAATAAATACCATAATTTGGAGGTGGATAATTTTTGAGTTCTTTCTTTTGCAACGTGTTTTTTTTTTTTTTTGGGTTGGATTCTTTATGGAGTCCATTTATATGGACCTTCTTGCCAGCAGATGACGGGATTTAGGAGGGTGAGGGTGGCTAGAAATTTAGGGCTACAATGAGAAGAGGAGAGAAGAAAAATGAAGAACAAATGGGTTTTACCCCTTTTTCGTTGATTCTAATGGAACATGCTTTCCACATGCAACTTTCAGTCCAAATTGAATATTATTCTATCAATTGTTCTTAATTAGCCAAAATTCGTGAACTTTGAAGATGAAATGTGTTCTTGTTGGGGACAAAATTGTTCATCAACCGAAATTTCGAGAATGAAAAGTGCATTTTCCCACAGTTTTTAATCTAACAAAACATGCAAGAATTGACCATTCTTGCCATATCAATTTGGTAAGTTGATGAAACCCTTGCCTTATTTTCATACAAACATTTCACGAGTATTGAGGTTAGCAAAAAAATTACAGGCAGTATTCCATGAACTTTTGGGTATTCCTTGCTACATGAATTTTGGTTATATGAATAATCCGGAGAAGCTTGGGGCGGTTCAAGTTTAAAAAATTAGATTATTCATTCATATGTAGCTTCAATTGAATCTTTTCTCAGGAAGAGTCCCGAATGAAACTGTCCATTCAATTTACTCGAAACATCTTATTGTCAATGAAAATAATTCTAGTGCGATGATTCCCTACTATTTATGAGCTCAATTGGAGAGTTGAATTAAGTCAACCATTTCACATGTTGATTTTGCAAGGTGACTCGTTGATTTAATTTATCTTGTGGGAAATATCAAAATATAATTACGTAAGCAATCCAGACATTACATTGGAAATAGTTTTTTCATTTTGAAAATATAAAAATATAGGCATGATGTTTATACGGAAAGCACGTGCATTATTGTTGGTTGCCTAAAGACAAAATTCTATGTCTACGGGCGGCTTGAAGAATGTAGGTTCCTAAAAAGTGATCCCAAAAACAATCATCCATGCGGACCTCTCAGCTGTATGTTTCTTGTTTAAAAAAATGAGTTTTTGATATCACAACCTCAGGCTTTGGATTGATTGGGAACTCAACCGAAAGTTTTTGTCAACTATCTAGGTTAGCGTAATTGAGATTTCAAGATAATGCAATTCGTAGAAATTTGTTCGAAGCTTTATCAATCATTCACAATTCACAACACCAAGCTAGAGCAGTTTCATTAATTTAGGACAATACTTCACTTTTCATAAGCCATTAGCTTAATTGTGCAAACCAGATGACGAGGGAACTTTATGCACAAGAATGAGCAACTGTCTCAAATTGAAATAAAATGTGAACCCTTGAATGGAGGACCGTTATATTAACCAGGGGAGTTGATTTGATTTTTAACAAATTAGAAAAAGACTGTCAACAAGGATCCCTGAATTCACAATTTTTTATAAACACAGAAGATCCTCCCACATATATCCCTCGAACAACATGATGCCTGTGCTCATCTTGTGCTCAGGACAAGGAAAAGCTTCTATCATGCAAAAGAGTACACTACAGAAACTGTTTAGATTTATTAGAGCACTGTAACCAAAAGCCAGATCACAACAGGAACCGGAATCCACAACAAATCAGGAGTAGTTGCTGCTGTAGAAATTCTTTAGAAAATTAGAGATCCCTTCATCCTTGGGTCCAAGGTCTTGCACAAGTCCTTTACGACCCACCACGTATTGGCCAATAACGTGATGCCTCTGCTTTGCATGATCAACAAAGTTCTTTAATTCTTCCATTCCCTTGAAGAGCAGCATGTCAATAACCTGCAGAGAGTCGGAAAAATATGATGCAGATCTACAACTCAATCTCAAGTTTTTCTATAACAGAATGAAAATCTGATTAAGTTCAGTGCTAGGACAAATTCATAGAAGATCAAGATACCGAAAAAAGGCACTATTTTTTACACTATCAAACAAGTATTTCTTTGCAACTATACCAAACCAAAATTTATCCTGGAAAACTAAAGGTAAAATAGCCAAAAGTATCAGGAAGGTAATTCAAGAAGCTTTAGATGGCCATCATGATGCAGGCAATCTTATTTGCAGCCAAAATCCATCAAATGTCATAAAGGAACATGCTAAGACTAGATTGATTCTTGAGAAAGATGAGAATGGCATTAACTCTGACCTAATTTGTCATATTAATGAGGCAAATGCACCCTAAAAACCACGCGAAGCTACACAGAAATGAAGAAAAGTACACGAGATTATCTTCGTTTTAATTCAGCTTAATTTATCATAGAGGCACAGTTGTGAAAAGTCTATAACATGATATAAAGCATACGAATCATTTTGCTAGACGAAACAGCAATATAGTAGTGAACAATTTATCTGATAAGGCGTGATTGAAAACAGAAAAGGGCCAAGAACCAATATGCCCAACAATGCATCAATTGATTCAATATCTTCCAAGCGTATAAACAACTTGATATCCCAGGAAAGTTGAAATACCAGCTACAAACTTGTAAACGACCAAGACAACAAAACCAAAGCAAAAGAAATCAAATGACACCTTTTTCTAGAATACTTTGCCTTAAAGAGATAATCATGAACGCTAACAATGAGAATGCTCTCGAAGTCGCAAAAGGTTCATATCAAGTTCTGGACCCAACAGGAAGCTTTTAAACTTCCCATAACCGCAGAGTCCTTCTTATATGTAAATGGAGTACAAGACACCCTAGAGAAGTTGCATTCAGCATTGTCCACTTTAAGCTTGACAAAACTTAGGTAAAAAGATCAGACAATGAATCTTTAAAACCCAGACTATTATCAGTTAACCATAAATTAAAAAAATCCATATACACGAAAGACTGTTCCACTCCTGCTAATATTCCTCATATACATGAAAAAATATACCATGTAAGTCAGAAGGGACCACAGTTACTCAAGCTTATGTAGTCTCTCCGCGTAAGAAAGAATTGTCTGTAGAGCTTAACATATACGTACAATTAATTGAGCTTCTTGCTTAACTATTTGTCTCCTAACCTATGTGTATCATATTGCTATACATAAGTAGCATCCTCACACCGTCTTACTCACAAGAAAAGTCACAAGTAGCTTATCTTTCTTATCAATTTACAGAATTAGACATCAAACTTTTCACTAATACCATTGAAGAACAGACCATAATAACGTGCTTATGAGTTTGGATTCTTAACAGTCACTCAATGGAATTCAACTCAAAGTTATGCTTTGGTTTACCTAGAGCAAAAATCTTCTTCCCCAGTATTCATCCTAGGTCACTCTCACTTAACACGTCAAGCCCATAGAAGAGCATGACACCATCCAAATTCTTCTTGCCAAGGCCATTGCGTGATGTTTGTTACTCTGCTTTCAGAGCTCACACGGACAAGAATTGCAGATTCTCAACACAATTGTCAACAACTCTGAATATTAGCTTGTCAACTCATGACAATATTATAAAACAGAGCCTCCATCATATATGTTCTTGCATCAGAAGGCACAGAACACCCAATTTTTAGCAGCACTGGGCTGTTTCTCAAAGCCCAGTTAATGACAATCTAAATATCATTTTAAAACTGATATTGAGCATCCCACATGTTTGTACAATCTTCGAGTTCTTTATAACTATACTAGAAAATATCAGTTCCACAAAGTGTCAGTTTACTTTATTATATGCTAGATAAATTGTTAGATCCTACTGGAGGCCTTTCTTTGGTTTTACTGAGCAAAGGCTTCTGGAATTTCAAAACATTCTTCAAGTTTCCAGTATACCCTGCAAACTCTACTAGGATGCCAAGTTATGGTTTCTGATACATTTGCAGCACTAGGATGTGTTAAATAGCTACCTCATTTGGTATTGATATCGAAATCAAAGCCCTATTTTGGGTTGGGATTTGTACAGTTCTATGAGGATTTTTCAGCTGGATGATGCAATTTAAGCCATAATTGTGATTTAGAGTTCCACTCCACCTATATGCGTTGCAGTCCTAACCGTAATTTCATTTTTGCCTTATTCACCAAACCTAAAATAGTTGCCCTTCACCTCTTTCCACCTAAGAAATGTCAAACAACTGAAAACGGCTGCCGCTCAGTACTCAAAGCATCCTGAACATCTGCCAGACCTTTTACACAAATATAAGGTAAACTATCTGAAGTTTAGAAATCATGTTCTTCTGATACTTGCGAAATGATTTAAACTAAACTGATGCTAACAATCCAGAGCCTTGGGACATCAAAAGTGATAGCGATAAGTGGCAAAAGTCCACTAAGGTTTATAGGAGACGTGGGAAGGATATGTCGAATGCCCAGGCATTGATTTGGCATGCTTTTGATGACAAGGAACCAACTTGGGAGTTGGCCTGAATCCTATGGAGTTTATTTTCTGATTTCTGTCGGCAGGGATATTTTAGTAATTTGAATTAGCTGCAGGAATTTTATGTTTACAGTAATTCTTTGTTTAGTAGTTGTTCTTGGTAATTAGTAATTTGGTTGTTATAGGGAATAAGAAAGCTTAGCCTTCTAGCTTTCTAGTTATAATTCTATTCTAGTTAGGAATCCTAATTAGGATTGGAAAGGGATTTGTCCTAGTGTCTATGAATATCAACTTCTCCACAAAGAGAAGGCAGTTTCTGGTCATTAATAAAATATTCCTGCAGACTTAACGTCTCTCTTAGGGCTGTGTGATGCATCCCAACTTTAGGTGTGAGGCCTAAAGATTCCTAGGAGTGATTCCTAGAATTACCAACCAGTTTTACCTTCTTAAGCATAATCTGCCAGCCTATTTCAAGTTGCTATTTTAAGTTCGGTGGTATTCAATATATAAGCCCTTCTACAACGCTGTTGTGCCCACCACGTGTTCGTGCTGCGTCAATTTTGGTAATCAGAGCAAGGCTTTCCCATGACGACAAGAAGTGGGTTGAATTTTAGAGGTCGATACACAGACAAGGAACGGGATAACATCATTAATCTTCTCTTAGGGAGGGTTGCTGTGTTAGAAGACAAAATCTTTAATACCGAGCAACAGCAAATCCCTGAATCTGGAGGCAACGGTGAGCCCGGATCTGGGGACAAAAACAATGGAAAGGAACCTGAGCATCTCGAACAGCCTGAACACATAATCGGGAAACAATCTAGTAGGAGTGAAAATAGAATAAATCAATCTTTTGGAAGGCCACAAGCTTCTCTTTTTGACATGGCTGATGAGATTGTTCAATCAGCAAGGCAAGGAAGACAAGACTCTTATGATTTCGCAGGAGACATCACAAAAAAGGTAAGAGTAGATATCCCCGATTTCGATGGAAGAATTGATCCTAAAGTCTTTTCTGATTGGCTCGCTACTTTGGAACGCTATTTTGACTGGTATGATATGACTGATGAGAGAAAAGTTAAGTTTACTATCATGAAACTTGTTGGACAAGCCCAGGTGTGGTGGACAGGAGTCGAGCATGATCTTCGACTTGCTGGACAACTAGACTTGACGTGGGAAGAGATGAAGCTGCGTTTGAAGAGAAAGTACGTGCCTCTACACTATGAAGCTGACCTTTTTGATGACATGACTAGCTTAAGGCAAGGAGGAATGACAGTTGCTGAATATATGACTAAGTTTGAGGAGCTGAAAATTCGCTGCGGAGGCACCGAAAGTTCAGCACAAGCTTTATCCAGATTTAAGTTGGGTTTGAGACCTGAAATTCGCAAAGAATTGATGGGACGGGATATCCACACAGTTGACAATGCATTCCAAACAGCTCTTAGACTTGAAAAGAGCCTGCAGCAGCCACCACTTAAGAGGATCAATACTCAAGGTGGGGAGGAAATTCCTAAAAGATTCACTGCAAACGGCAAGCCATATAGATCAGCAGCAGCTCAAGCAACTTCCAAGCCTGCGGAGACCAAGACTAAGACTTCCACAATCGATGAAAGAAACAAGAACAAAGATGGATGTTTCAAGTGTAGTTTGAAGGGACACATGGCATGGGAGTGCCCGAACAAGAGGAACTTGCACCTTGGCGCCGATTTCAGAGATAAGGAAAATCTAGAGGTCGAGGAAGATGAAGGTGCTGATTATTTCACTGAGATAGCGCAACTTAATGTTGATGATTTGGAAGACAAAGAAGAAGACACGTCTTATCTCTCAGTTGTGAGGCGTCTCCTTAGTGCACCAAAGTCACAAAAGGAAGACTGGCGAAGAACTACAATCTTTCAAACCTTAGTGTGCTGTGGGCAAGAGATTAGAAAGCTAATTATTGACAGTGGCAGCAGCATGAACGTGGTTTCAGAATCTACCATACAACAGTTAAATTTGCCTACAGAGCCACATCCTGAACCTTACAAGGTTGCTTGGATCAACAGTAGCTCTATACCGGTGACGAGACGTTGCTTGGTGTCCATTAAACATGGACCTTACAGCGATACTATATGGTGTGATGTTATTCCAATGACCGTTTCCCACATACTTCTTGGTCGACCTTGGCTATATGATCGAGATGTGAATCATAATGGAAAGTCAAATACTTACCCATTCAAGTTTAATGACCAGCAGATTGTCTTAAAGCCTATGAGTGCTGAAACTATGAAGAAGTTTCATGAGAAGAAATCAACCAAACAAGAGAAGCCAGGAGTTAATGAAGTGATCGAGACAAGGAAGAAGAAATTCGCAGAATTTGAAGAAGGGGATGAAGTTATGGTTCGTATTCGGCCAGAGAGGTATCCTAAGGGCGTCTACAAGAAGCTACATTCAAGAAGTGCAGGCCCCTTCAAGGTTCTCAAGAAAATCAGCTCAAATGCTTATGTTCTTGAGTTACCTGATGATATGGGGATTAGCAATGTGTTCAATATTGAAGATTTGACTGCTTATAATGGGCATTTAGACGATTCAGCAGGTGGGACTTCTAAGGCTGCTCTTCCACCTCCTACACGCTTACGTGAAGCAATTGAAGATGTTCTTGACCACCAAATTGTGTCCACTAGAGGGGGTGGTTACCAAAAGTTTCTTGTTCATTGGAGGGGACGCCCACGCACAGATTGTACATGGATTACCGAATCTGAATTTCAGAAGTTGGATCCAGATTTCTATGAGAGGTATCAGGCCATTAACTTGTCGGGGTCGAGTCTTTTCAAGCCGGGGAGATGATAGCGATAAGTTGCAAAAGTCCACTAAGGTTTATAGGAGACGTGGGAAGGATATGTCGAATGCCCAGGCATTGATTTGGCATGCTTTTGATGACAAGGAACCAACTTGGGAGTTGGCCTGAATCCTATGGAGTTTATTTTCTGATTTCTGTCGGCAGGGATATTTTAGTAATTTGAATTAGCTGCAGGAATTTTATGTTTACAGTAATTCTTTGTTTAGTAGTTGTTCTTGGTAATTAGTAATTTGGTTGTTATAGGGAATAAGAAAGCTTAGCCTTCTAGCTTTCTAGTTATAATTCTATTCTAGTTAGGAATCCTAATTAGGATTGGAAAGGGATTTGTCCTAGTGTCTATGAATATCAACTTCTCCACAAAGAGAAGGCAGTTTCTGGTCATTAATAAAATATTCCTGCAGACTTAACGTCTCTCTTAGGGCTGTGTGATGCATCCCAACTTTAGGTGTGAGGCCTAAAGATTCCTAGGAGTGATTCCTAGAATTACCAACCAGTTTTACCTTCTTAAGCATAATCTGCCAGCCTATTTCAAGTTGCTATTTTAAGTTCGGTGATATTCAATATATAAGCCCTTCTACAACGCTGTTGTGCCCACCACGTGTTCGTGCTGCGTCAAAAAGTATCTACATTGGAAGAGTTTTACAATAAAGAAGACAATTTTTGAAGGCGAGGATTAAACGGCAAATGATAGAAAATAGAGAAGTACTGCTAAGTTAAGGTACTCTAAGCAAACAACAAACATAAGAATGATGCTTGGTAATTGGATCAGCTACGGGAGTCAGGGAATTCAGGAACACCAAGTACAATTTATCTAATTTATAGACAAATAAAAGCCCAGCCAGCTGGACCCATGGGAGATGGGACATTATTGATCTTGGCCTCAAGAAGAACAAGGCATTGGATAGAGTACAACAGAAACCACTGATTTATAACCTTGACGTATTGGTCATAAAGGGAGCACAATGATGGTTTATTTATTAAAGAGGATAAAATTTTGAACTATTTATTATAAAGGTCAAATGTATTCGCATCCATTAAAAAAAAAAGTACAAATGCAGTAAAAATGCCCCTAGTACTAAATAGTTCAAATTTAAGCACTCCTTGTTGATTAACTCTTCCACTGCACCTTTTTAATTAATGTTCCACTGGTTTATAACTTAGGAGAAATGATAGCCAGCCTTGTCTTCCACCCTTTCTTAAGGGAGGTGAAGGGGTGAGACTAATTTCCAGAGGGTCAGTACTTTATAATTGGTGGATCGCCATGGAAGAGCAACTTAGGATTCAGATAGAATTTAACTTTTTTTTATACTTTTGACACCAAAAACTAAAAAATGGTTGGAAAATTTTAACTCTAAACAGCCCTCAGGAAAGGATGGAAAATTAAAAGTCATGACAATCCGCTGTTAACTTTCTCTGCACGATAAGGTAAAAGGGAGAAATATGCAGTCACTAACAGTAGAAAAAGCATAAAAGAAACAATAAACTCAAGTGCAATTCAGAAAAATGCAGTCAGTTTGAATTCTGTCTTAATTCAACTGGATTAGAGGTTTGCAAATTAGTATTTTGACATAAAACTATAATTTTCTAAGTGATCAATTATGCGAAACTAAAATTACCATATTCTAGAATCAAGAAAGACAGAAAAATCCATTTCCAATTGAAGATTATGACATCAGCTTCTTCCCAACAGATATAATAAAATTGCAACGAGAATCTAATCTTGACCCTAAACCTCTAATTCATATCAAATTCAATTAGAAACCAAAACTTTCCTTTAAAAAAAAAAGAAAAGAAAAGAAAAAAACCTTGGGATTGGTGACGTGGGCATTCTTGCGGATTTCAGAGGCTACAGTGGAGCGTAGCTGAGAGGGGGTAACGACGTCGTCGAGGTTGTAGATTTCCATAATGTTTGGGATCGATCTGCAGGCCAACCTGAAGAAATCGAAGGTCCTTTTCCGAGCTTCCTCCCGACTCGTCGAGTTCGGCGGCACCTTCAAGTTCTTCATCAAATGTGCCATTTTTTCGAATTATTTTCCCTTTGTTTTCTCCTCTGGGGTTTTCAGAGGAAAATCGCTCAGTATTTATGTTTCTGTTACGGTCCTACGTGTTGGTATTCTTTCACTTTCTGCCAGTCGCTGGTACAGTAAAAGCATTCGCAGCGCCGAGATTGCGTGAACGGCCCAGGCCCTATACAATTAGTGGGCTTTTGATCCGATTATCACTTTGTCTCAAATCTGTAAAAATAAAGGCCAAAACTGGCTAGATCCAATCTACGATGCTAGTCCTTTTTTTTTTTTGTTAACACAGGGGTGTCCAGGTCAATTCTTACGGGACTCGACTAATCCCCTGCGGCCCGGAAGAGGAGGGCTCACTCCACACCGAGCACGTTAACAACGGGACTCGAACCCTGAACAAGCCAGGAAGGTCGTCATACCCTAAGGAGGGGGAGCGGACCGCTTGAGCTATCCCGTGGGGACAGAAGACCAGCCACGTAAAGTGACAAGTTTGTGGGAGGCAGGGGTTGAACCCCTAACCTCCAGCATCACCAAAGATGGTGATGACCACTGGACCAAATAGCCAGTGGCACGATGATAGTCGTAGACCGAGTGATCTAGAATTTCCACATCATCAGTTCAACGGCAAAATTGAAAATGGCTTTAAGACCACTACATATCTAGTAAATGCAATTGTCAAAATGGAGTGGTAGGCTGCTGATGTGGCATGCTACTATTCATCAGAATGTATCGTCACCTAAGCGTTTCTCACGTGCCAAGAGTTTTGTTCTAGGGTTTCTCGTCTTCTTTCCCTTCATTCATCTCTACCGCTTCGTTCCTCTTCAGAGCTCCTCTTCCCTTCCATTTTTCTTCTTTTTTTCTCTGTTCCTTTCTTCCTTTTTGTTGTTTTTTATTTGGTCCTTTTTTCTCTGTCTTTCCTTCCTATTTCCCCCGTTTTCCCGTTCTTCTCTTTTCTTTTTTCAATTTTATGATTCTAACTGATTTTTTTCCCTTGTTAGAATTGGTCTGGATTTGAAGGTGCGAAATGCATGAGACATAAAAATCATCTTGATTGGTAAGCTCCAATATTTCCCTAAATTTTTACAGTTTCCTTTATTCAAAAGAAAAAGACATTTTTACTGTTAGGATTTGTTAATTTTTCAATTAATAACCCAGAGGTTTGAAATACCATTCTTCCATCTCCTTCTTTGAGTAAAACAAAGAAAGCCACAGTAAAATCTTCATCCTAACCCATCCAAAAGCACCGAAAGTCGGAAGTATTTGTAAACCCAAAGATCTACTGTTTTTTCTTTTCTTCCTAAGTATGCTTCTGAGTTTGTGTTCAGCCTTCTTTTTTTCTTGTGCTATAATGCGCCGTTTCTCCATCATCTCCTATAAGAAATGATTTTAGAACCCTAACCGTAGATTTTAGTATATATATGTCTATTTTCTATTTTAGTTATGTATATCTATAGAGGCGTGAAGTTCACTCTAAACCCAAGGAGCTGTGAAAAGAGTTATTTTTGTTGTTTCCTCCCCTTACTTTTGCCTGATTTCCATCATTTTTGCCATGACTAAAGAAAATCAAAATACATTTAACAAATTTGATTAAGTTCATTTTTTCCTCGTGTTTGATTATATAATTTGTGTATTTTGGTGATGTTGCAGGTCCAAAATTTGGAATTTTCTTTGATTCTCTCAAAAAACTACGAATATGGTGCTATGGATCAACACCATTCCCAACCTATTTTATGTAATATTGGTGAATATTTTGAGTAAGCCTTTTTCTATTTGCATATATGTGATTATAATTTATATTCTACTTTTCTATATTTTTTCCTCTACAAAAGAGATCGCTTTGGATTTTTTTTGGTCATTTATTTCTTTTCATGACTTATTAGATATAAGTTTCAATTTTGGTTATCGTGAAGTATTGATCATCTTAGTTGTGTCTTGGAAAGTTTAGTTTTATGACATGTTTCCTTGAGCCTTTTTAAATTAAAATTGATAAATCCTCACTAGATGTTGGACTTATTTGTGTATTTCATGGGTCGGTCCCTTTTGTGTCTTTTTGTACGTGGGGTTACTTCTTTTCCTTGTTTTTTCCCCTTTTTTGTTCTAAAGTACTATAATTATATAATAATGTTTTATTTATCGAATGTTTGATAAAATGTTAGAACTATTAATTTGTTATATAGTAGCTACAATTGGAAAAAAAAATTGTCCCATATAACCCACACTCTTGATTTTCAACCGAAAGACTTTGTTCCTCTATCCATGAATTTCCTCTTCTTCTTCTTCTCATGGTCTTCACTCGCTAATAAAAAAGGGGAAGCCTTATATGCTTCTGTTGTCTCTTCTTCTATTGTAGTTTTACAAAAGGAAAAAGTGGAGATTGTTATGTAACAAAAGTCTCTAAAATTTCTCAAAGTAATTTCCTCTATGTTATAGTATTCTTTCCCATTCTCTGTATCATCATTTGGTCGTTAATGCTTGCTAATTCCCCTGCATGTGAGTTTATGGTTGGTTTCCTTTCTTTTTCCCCTCCAACATTAGTGCAGTGAGGTGATAATTAAGTGGATGTTTTTCTCCTGCTCTTTTGTTTAGGCCTTTATTTTCCATACTTTGGTTGCCTATCTATGTGATTATCCTTCGGAGAATTGTTCTTTCCAGAGTACTCTCCTAAATTTCTGACATTTGGCAATTGGCTCTAGAAATATAGATATGTTCCATCATAGAAAGCTTCCCTTTTCTTTCTCAACCAAGTTTCTCTCAATCTCTCTTCCCTATTTTTTGCGTTTGATATCTCTTTCCTTCTCCTAAATGGCATGGTGCTAAGAGGTCCTCCTTTTAGTCATTTGATTTCATGTTTCCACCTTCAAGGTTAAAGAAAATGTCGCGCCCCTTTTTTTTGAAAAATAAAATAAATTTAATTTGGGTGTTAGAAGAATGAATTTTGATTTTGAAAATGATGCTTAATTTTGAGTGAATTAAAAAAATGAGTTTTTTGAAAAATAAAAGGAAAAGAGAGGGCCTAAAATGGGACTTAAAAAGTGCGATGGTTTTGGCCTAAAATAGTAGTCTAAAAAGGGTTTTTAAGAAAAAATAGAAGTTGCCACTTGGTATCGAGTTTAGGTGTACCAAATCACCTAAAAATGTATTTTTAATAAAAAAAATAGATAAAACCCTTTTTAGACGACTCCAGGTTTTTGAAAACAAGAAAAAGAATTCGGGAGTCACAGTTGAAAAAATGGAAGGCAAAGATTTGATATAATCAAACCTAATGCACCCTTTCAACCTAACTAAGGCTGATTGCGTGATTTAATTAAAAATTTTCTTAATCTGACCTATAAAACTTATCACATTTGGATGTTTCTATATGGATGCAAATCTAGACCTAATGGATATCGAGAGGGTCGAAATATCTCTTCAAAAGTTAATTAGTGCAAATCACATTAATTGTGATGCTCAAAATGATTCTTAGAAGAGGTCATGAATATACAAAAATGAGACTTGAAGAAAAGAAGAATTATAACATATAAATATACGTGAGCTAAAAGGGAGGAATGCAACACAACGAGTACGGGGAACTAAAATTCATGACTCAATTTTCCTTTCTAAAGAAGAGATACGAGCGTGCTAAGGCGAAGAAGCCATACTCATCCATTTCTCATTTTGAAGGGTAACTCTCCTGTCGCGCCCCATTTTTGAATAAAATAAAATTAACATGTTTTATAAAAATGAATTTTTGATTAATTTTTGATTGAAAAATGAGTTTTTGATTTTTAGAAAATAAATAAAGAAAATGGACCTAAATGGGACTTTAAAATGTGATGATTTTGGTCCAAAATAATAGTTTAAAAAAGATTTTTAATGAAAATATAGGAGTCGCCACTTGATATCGAGTTAAGGTGTACCAAGTCACCAAAAATGAATTTTTAAAAAATAGTAGAAAACCCTTTTTAAACGACTCCAAGTCTGCGAAAATCAAGAGAAAAAGGGTCGGAAGTCACATTTGAAGAAAGGGAAGGCAAGGATAAAATTCAAATCACCCTTTCAACCTAACCAATGCTAGTTGCGTGATTTAGTCAAAATTTTTCTTATTCTAATCTAAAAATTTATCACATTTGGATGTCACTAGATGGATGCATAACCTAAACCTAGGAGGATCTCGAGGGGTCGGAATATCTCTTTAAAGCTTTCATTGGTGCAAATCATATTAATTGTGATGTCCAAGAGTGACTTTTTGAAAAGGTCACGAATATGCAAAATATGAGACTCGAAGGAAAGAAAATAATAATTATACAAATATACATGACCTAAAGAAATGAATTATAACAGGTGCGGGGGGCTAAAATTCGTGTTTTTAATTTTCCCTTTAATAGAGGGAATATGAGCGTACTAAGGCTAGGAGTCATACTCGTCCATATCCCATATTCGAGAGGTGTTTTCCTATCTAATCAAGCAAATGATCTAATCTAGTTCTAATTTTTAAATGGAATGCAAGTCTAAATGTCATGTTTCACATATAGGGGTAAGGAATATATATATATATATAAGGGAAATATGGAATAAGGGGTATACATATAGGGAAATGTCATGCAAAATGAAAAAAACCTAAAAGGTAGAAAATATGCATGAAAATGTAGTGATTGTCACACAAACATGATCTAACGCGTCAATGGTCCCTAAGGGTCTAGCGTTGGACTAACCCATGTTTATAAGTTTTCACTAGTATTGGACTAGTGAGAAATCAATAAAAGGGGCCACGACTAGCGTTGGACTAGTGTGGTGACGACGTGCATTTATTATAATCAAATAAATCATATAAAGCATAATAAAAGCAAATAAAAACATAAATCACATATAGCACATAACATATAAGCATGATATCTAGATGCAAGACCCTAAGAAAGCAGGTAACACATAAACACACAAGCATGCAAAACATACAAAGCAAATACAAATAAAAACCTAACTATTACATTTGGGGGCCCTAACTACAATCTAAAGGGGTAAAGAATGAAATGAAATAAAATAATAACCTAACTATTATAATTTGGCATTTAAATGCCTCTCAAATAACCAAAAAATTAAATTAAAATAAATATACAAAATTAAAACCAATAAAGTGAAT